GAACAGAATGTAAGGCTCTGCTCTGCGGAAAGTCTGTGTCCGGGGCTGCAGTTTGGGGCACTGCCACGCAGCACCCCTGCTGCACAAACCCCACGCGGGGGAGGATGTGGCTTAAGGCCGGGTCCGTCGAGACCCCATTTCCTGCGGGAGAAGCTGCCCTGGGAGGGAGGCGGGGAACAAAGCTGAGCCCCCAGCAGAGCTGGAGCCAGAGGTGTCCCTCCTCATCTCCTCCCCCGCCCCCCCGCACTCCTGTGACAGCCACAAGGCTCACCGGAGAGGGCAGGCCCTCTGTGCAGGACGTCTCCCTGGCTCAGGGCCCAGGGCTCCGAGCTTCCTGGAACTTGGGGGGCTCTGGCGTGGAGATCACCGCTGCTGCATTCCCTGCGATGCATGCACGAAGATGGGCCTGGCCTCTGTGTTGGAAGCTAAAAGAAAAATTTCTCACCGACCCGGACTTGGGATGTGGGACGTGGTGTGTGTGCGTGTGCGGGCGCGCGCGTCTGAGTGTGGGTAGGCGTACACACGTGTGCACGTGCGTTTAGCAGCTGGGGTGAGGCAGGGAATAGGGAGGGGAACTCAGAGGCTGGTCTGGCTGGTGCTTCCTCCCTCAGTCAGCCCCGGGCCAGGAGGCAGAACTGAGCCAGGGAGAAGAGCAGGGCACTGACAAAGCCCAGGCGTCTAAAGACTGAGAGTTCGTGGACCAAGCTTGGAAATCAGCTACCAGCCCTCCCTTCATCCCGGCCCCTCCCTGGGGGAAGGAGGCAGGAAACGGGCCAAGGGTCCGGAACGGTGGCGGGCACACACGCACCGCTACCCTAGGTTAACGTCTGCCCCTGCGAAAACGACCCACGACGCGATCTGGCATGCCCGTGCTCCCAGTGACCCAGGGGCAGCCACGGCAACCCCTGAAGTAGGGACAGAGGGAGCATGGGTAAAGAAGTGGGCAGAGGGGGAGGGGAAGGGCACCCAGAGAGGAGGAGCATGGCCTACTCACTTGGCCCTTTGGGAGGACCGCGTCTCTGTTGGAGTCACTGCCTTCTCCTGCAGCGGCCGCCACCTCTGCCTCCCGTGTCCTCCTGGCCACAGATTTCTTGCCGGCGGCGCCCGCGTGCTTGGACTGTTTGGGTCCCGAAGGGACCAAGGAATACCTCTCGGACCTCCCAAGCAGCGGGACACCGGAGATCGGGGGGAAGGTGGCTGGTTCCAGGGGAGCAGCCGAGACTCTCTGCCCCCAGGAAGGGAAGCTTTTGCCCGGGGCCACTTTTGAGGCCCCCCCTAGGCATTTCTTCTCCTGGGCCGCCTTACTCCTCGAGGTGGCCTGGGGCAGGCCACCTGCAGCGGCAGCAACAGCAGCAGCTCCCTGGTAGCTGGGCCTGCTCTCCCCCTTCCCCCAGACCACACTTGGCATTTTCTTAGAGGAGGAGACGTCCAGCTCTCCAACGGCCTGCCTCTCCACAACCGAAGTGAATCCTCGGGGAGCGGAGGTCAGGAAAGGGCCCCGCACGTGAAGGAACTTCTCCCTGACGTGGAAATTCGCGTGTCTGGCTGTGTCCCCGGGATCCTCGGGGCTGCTGGGCTTGGCTGGGCCGCCTTCTTTGGAGTAAATGCTCACCCTCGTCAGCTGTATCTCGCTGAACTCATCTGAGGACTCGGGGTCGGAGGGCAGCCCGCCGGGGCCTTCGGTGGCCGGGGGCCGCTGGCGATCCACCCGGACGGTCGACCTGCCCTTGGCTCCTCTTTTCGGGTTCCCCCAGGCCCGGCCCCACTCGGGCCCACCGACGTGCAGCGGGGCGGCGGAAGGCGGCCGCGACCCCACGCGGCCCAGGGCGAGCGCGCCTCGCCCACTGGGCCCTGCCTCGAGGCCGGCCCAACGGCCCGACGCCTCCACGGCGCCGCTCTCCGGGGACGGGTTTCTCCGCAGGCCCCGGGCATCGCGGTCTGTCAGCTGCTGCTCCGTGTTCGCCGCGGACTCGTCAGCGAGGTGGGACGCGTAGTCCAGGGCGTCCCCCTTGTCGTCGGCCGGGGCGCCGGGGCGGCCTTCGCGGCCCCACGGCACCGGCCCTCCCGCTTCCATCACTTCCCGCTCGGACTCGAAGCCCTCGGCGTCTGGGAACCCACCCTCGCCCTCGCCCTCGCCGCTGCGCGGCGGCCCCGGATCCAGACCTCGTCCCGGGGCCCGCGGGGCCCGGCGGCCGGCGGGGCGGACGCTGGCCTGCCCCCCGCCCTCCGGGCTCAGACCCAGACCCACTCCCCAGGCAGAGACCTCATCCGGAGCGCTCATGCCGGCCACGCCGCGCAGCCCGGGTTCGAGGGAGCCGATCGCCCTTGTCCCGGCGCGACAGGCGAGAGGGGAGAGGCGCGAGGCGATTGACGCGCGACGTGCGACGGGAGCCGCGAGGCCTCCTGGCGACGCAGGCCGTCACCGCCGGCGCCGCACGAGATCGCCTCAAACAACGCGCGGCTTTGTGCGCGCTTCCGACGCCTGCGCCGTGGCCTCCTCATTGGTCCGCGCCTCTCCTTGGCCCGCCCCTTGTTGGCCCGCCCCTCGAGGCCCTAACCAATAGGGTCGAGGTCCTTTGGTTCGCCTTGGAGCCGGTCGGGGGCTGGGTGTCCGCGAGTCCGGGCGTTGGTCCGGCTGTTCTGGTCCTGCCGCCCCTGGGCCAGAACCTGCTTTCCACCTGGAGTCACGGCTCTGAGCCTCTGTCTTCCCCATCCGCCGAGCCCGGTGAGCCGGCACCTGTCTCTGGGGTCGTGGGGACGACAGGTCGGGACGGAGGGGAGGCACCTAGCGCACAGAGGATTCGCCGGCTTTTGTTCCACCGCGGCACTTAGGACCCGATGGGAAAGCGGGCACGGGAAGCCCGCGGTCAGCCATCGGGGGACGGGTGGCATATGTTCCCCGCGAAGGGTCCGAGAGCAAACGTTGTCATATTTACGTGCCTTTGGGTCTCTGTCGCAACCCCTCGACCGCGTTGGGCGATCAGATTGGTCCGTGGCTCTGTGCCCAGGGAACTTTATTGGCAGGCGGGTTTGGCGCACGGGCTGGGCGTTGCCCCCCTCCTCCCGGCCCCTCGTCCTCTCCGAGGCAATTCAAAAAGGAGGGAATCCCAGTGGCCAGTGCACACACCAAAAGTCGCTCACCATCGCTAATCCCAGAGGTGCGAACTAAAACCTCGAATCGGTGTTCACACACCAGACTTTCGACGATCAAAGACCTGAACCATTCCAAGGGCGGGAGCGGTTGTGAGCAAACGGGTGCTTTTGCCCACTGCTGGGGCTGGGGGTTGGGGGGAGGCGGCGGAAGGGGCGCGGCGGCGGCGGCGCGGAACAGCCCTTTGGGAGGGTATTTGGCAGAATCCAATGCAAAGCAACTTACACAATAGGTGCTACGTGCCCGGCCCTCATGTAAGCGTTGTAGTTGACTAGTCACGCATCCACAATGGGTCGAGGTACCCACTATTCCCGCCCTCTTACAGGGGAGGAAACGGGCACTGAGAGGTTCAGCCACTCGCCCAAGGTCATTAGGATTGCTGGGATCCCTGGCAGGATCAAAAGCACGCAGTTTGGCTCCCGAGTCCTCGCTTTGAGCGGAAACCCTTAAAGCAGAGAAGACGCACATTTCCCTCCACCACCCAGCAAATCTGCTGCCGGCTACTTCTCCTGGAGACTCGCTCGTTCAGGTAGTGGATGAGGAAGGACACGTGCACTACTCGTACGTTGGTGATGAGAAAAACTGGGAACACTCTAAATCCCCATCAGTGAGGAAATGAATGAAAGCGACAGGAAGTGTGTGCATCCTGAAGACTTGAAAGGCGGCAGTCAAAAGGAACGCGAGAGGCCACGTTCACAGATTTCAAAGCATCCTCGCGACTGAATAGAGCAATTTGGAGGTCAGTGGAGCTGGACACACATTTGTAAATAATGAAATGAAATGAAGAGAAAACAAGAACCACTCCTATACGGAGAATACGTAGAGGTGTATGTACCAGTATGTCGAGAGGTCTGGAGCAAGGCACAGCTATGTAGGCCTAACGGTGGTGGGGGCGGTGGGGGTGGTGGGGGTGGGGCGCCAGTTGTCTCTCAGATTTTCCTGAAACTACCCGTCCCCAGCTTCTCTGAGCTAAGCAGTCCTGATATCTGGGCAGTGGTCCCTCCCTCCCTTGGCTTCTGGGAGGTCCTGGCGTGTTAGAATTTCCCTTGCTTGCCACCCAGCCCCTACTCGAAGGGCCCTCCGTTCCTTCCGTACTTTTCCGTCCTCTCTTTCCCATTCATGCTCCTCTGCCTGCCCCTCGCCTCTCCTTCCTGCATCCTACTCTGGCTGATCCCCAAGAGAGGCCTGGGGTGCCCGAACACTCCTTGCCTACGTGAGCTCCAAGGCCCAGTGTCACTGGGTCTGCGCCTGAGAAGCCTGTCGTGCTGGAGAAGGTTACAGAGCAGGGGAGACTGGGCACACTCTAAGTCTGCGATAAGCCTCCTCCTCAAGCGTGCCCCCCCACTATCCCTGCCTGTGTGTGAAAAACGCCCTCTCCCACTTCTCCCATTGACTCGTAAGGTCATGGTGTGCCATCTCAGACCTGCTAAAATGGATCACGGAGGATAGAGCAGAATCTCCTCTACCCACCACCCTCCTAGGAAACATTGCCGATGGATCCAGCGGAGGCCTCCTTGTCCCTCTCCCCCACAGACAGAATCCTAGAGCCTTTTCACACCTTCCCCGCTCTCGTCATCCCTGGGGCTCTCCCACCTCCTCTTTGGTTGCATCCTATAGGTCGCCACCGATGTCCATAATCTCTGCTAACTCTCCCCCTTCAGCCTCGCCAGGATCCCATATTGGTTTCGACTCACCTGTTCGGTCTGTGGTGGGGACCAGTGTCAGAGGATCCACTTGGCCTCCCCCACCATGATAGCTTCTTACCCCACAGACCAATGGCCCAATGTAGGGGTTTTTGCCCCAACTGCCACGTGTATCAGTTGTCAACCCCTGGACTGGAGAAGTGACCCCTGCCTTGGTCCATGACTGGATCTCTATCCCCAATTCCTTTTATTTACCAGGGTCTCCTAAGCCCCAGTCTAACCAGGCCCCGCAGTGACACTTTGGGGCTCCAGAATCAATGTCACCTCAGACCCTGTGTCCAATAGTCCTAGACACGTCTGGGTATTCCTCTTTCCCCAGGGCACCGTCACCTGAGAAAGGGCAGTCCTTTTCTGGAGAGAAGGACAGTGGCATCATAAACAGTATATATACTCACCGCCTGGTTTCCAGACCCTTCCTCCTCAGGACTCCCCCACCTCCTCAGCCAGTGGGACCGGTCTCAAAATTGGCTCCGGACCGGGAACTGAGCAATAAATCGTGACTCTTTCTGGGACGACCACCCTCTTTTCTCTTGCCTTTTTCTGGCGGTCATTGCCCCGAGGGAGCCAGGCTGTCGGAAGCATCCTCTCAGCTCCGTGCCTGTCAAGCAGTCTCTCTCTCTCTCTCTCTCTCTCTCTTTTAAATTTTTTAAAGATTTTTTGGGGGAATTTATTCATTTGGCAGAGATACAGAGAGAGAGTGCATGAGCTGGGGAGAGGGGGAGAGGGAAAGGGAGAAGCAGGCTCCCCGCTGAGCCAGGAGCCCGATGTGGGGCTCGATCCCAGGACCCCGGGATCATGACCCGAGCCGAAGGCAGATGCTCAACCATCTGAGCCACCCAGGTGCCCCAAGTCAAGCACTCTTGACTGCCCCTCTGACCTTGCCGGGTGTTACTGGAGACCTGGTCTCCTGGAGTCTCCTGATCAAGAGCCACCCCTGCCCTCTGCTAGGTCAGAATTCCATCGTCCCCATGGATGGGACTGGGCCCAGGCCGGGACCACTTTCCTTCCGTCATCTGCATCGGCCTGCAGACGGGAGCAGCCGCTGAGCTTCTTGGCGATGCTGGGGCCCCCTCTCACCAGAACACCCCCGATGGCTTTGGTGAATGGTGTGTCCTCTCGGCCCTTCCATGGAGCATAACCATCTGGCCATGTGCCTGGCCTCACGGGTTCTATCCGTTCCAGCATGCCTGCCTCACTCAACCCCCTTGTTCCTTCCTCTGCCACCTGCTGGTCCAAGGCAGGGACTCTCGCTTCCCTCCCTGTGGGCCATCACTTCCTTAAAGCTTTGAAGGGCCACTCTGGTGGTGAATCTGCTCGTCTCCTGGAGTCCCTGCCAGCACGGGAAATCCCGGGGGACCAGAACGTGCCCCCCCCCACTCAGTAAAACCTGCTTATCCAGTCTTCCCTTTGCTGTCCTCTTGATCCAGCACCCTCAAGATCCAATCCCAGGGATATTTCCCCTGCTCCTGCCAGTACAGACCGGCTATTTCTTGCCACTCCCTCGGCGTATAATTTCTTCTCTCCCCTATCAGGCTTGGCATATCCCCAGCGAGGTTATGGGGAGAAGATCAGGGTTTCCACTGGGAGGGGCACCTGTGGCTTTGGCGGCGAGGGTTCTCTGTACCATCTCCCGGCACAGGGCACATGCTGGGTCTTGCTAGGGAGCGAAGGGCCACCCTGGAAGCTCTGCGGCCTCAGGGGGTGGGGCCCCGGATCGAAGGAATCAAAGGGCATATGAGAACACATCTATCTGACACAAAACGTGGTAGTCCCGGAGAAGCAGAGGCGCAAAAAGACACGAGAAATGTATAAAACTCATGGCAAAACATCATCTGTAAATTTACCCCTAGTTTGAATGCATTAACCGCGAGGTACAGAGAGGCTCAACCTGGTGTGAGACCCGGGGGATTCAACGGGATGCTCTGGGCAGGGGAGGTACTTCCGATAGCGCCATAAACCCGCTGAGGGAGAAAGGCCCGAGGATGGTCTACTGAGAGTTCAGCAGCCAGCGTGCGCTGTCCTGGCCATGATCACAACAGACGAAGTAGACCTTTAAGGCAGAAAGTGTTCCCAGAGACGGAACTGGACGTTTTACCATGACAAGAGGCTCCACCGATATAGGAGACATCACAATTGTAAACTTAGATGCACATAAGTGCAGAGCCTCAAAATACACACAACAGAACTTGACAAAATTGATGGCAGAACTAGAGCATTCAGCGGTGATATCTGGAGGCTTTAGTACTCCGTCTCAATAACTGACAGAAGGACTAGACAGAAAATTCGCAAGGGTGGAGAAGACCTCAACAGCCGTGTCCATGAACTCGAACTAACTGACACCTACAGAGCACTCCATTCAACAGCAGGTGGGTACACATCCTTTTCTTCTGTTTAAAAAACAATTTTATTTAAATTCAGTTTAGTTAA